ACAGTGCCAAGTGCAGTCTCGGTACAATCTCTCAGACCGACAGTGCCCAGTGCAGTCTCAGTACAATCTCTCAGACTGACAGTGCCCAGTGCAGTCTCAGTACAATCTCTCAGACTGACAGTGCCCAGTGCAGTCTCAGTATAATCGCTCAAACTGTCAGTCCCCAGTGCAGGCTCAGAGTAATCACCATCACATTTGGAGCCTGGTGTTTGAATTCTAACCTTGTGGTTGCCTTTGTTTGCTGTGCTTACTGACACCCGGCCAGTATTCTGCTGGGTGAACATTTCACGTGTGTAGAAATATGGGGACAACTGGAAACCTGGGTCAATGTGTTCTGTAGCAGTCACTAATGTTGCCCCTCCCAAAATCAGCAGGAGGAGGAAACTCGCTGTCTATTTCTGTAATTCAACATCAAATAACAGGATACTGAAACAGATTCACGTGGAGCTAACCCCCTCCAACAGAGTTAACACGATCATCTTTTGGGATCTGTTACTGCAATGTGATCCTTTCCTTTAAGGACAGATCTCCTTCACTCTCTCCAGGGCATTCTCTCAATATTTCAATCAGCTTCTCTCAGTGCCTTCGTCTCTTTGTTCTGTTCCCTCCTCTCCACCTTGCTCCCTCTGACTTCCCTTTGCTCACTGTTGCACTCTTTCCCTGAAGCTTCTGCTTCCTTCCATCTCTCATTCCATGCTGAATCTCTCTACAGCTCATCTGTCCTCATTACTCTCCCACTCCTCTGGGATTTGATTTCCCTTCCAGTCACTCTTCCAGGCTGCTTCTGCCTTGCCTTCTTTCAGTCTCTATTTTCTCTGATTCAATGTGTTATGTCTCTCTCTCTGTGTTTCCAACGGTCTTTCTCCCACATTCTATTCATTTTTGAATTAGCTCTCTCTCTGTCTGTCTCACTATTTCTTATCTCACTATTTCTTATCTCACTGTTCCCTTTGTGTCTCTCATCTCCTTGTTTCTTTCTCTCCCCATTTCTCGCCCTCTTTCTGTCTTTTTGGTGAATATTGTTGATTCTCTCTCCTCGCTGTCATCTCTGCCTTCTGTCTGTTCTGTCTCTCTCTCACACACCTCCTATCACTCTCTGCCCAACTCTCTTTTTCTCTCTCTACTTTACTCTCTCCCTCTGTCTGTCTACGTCATTCACTCTCTCACTTTCTCTGCCCAACTCACTCTCTCCCTTTGTCTCTCTACCTTACTCTCTCCCTCTCTCTTTCTGCTTCACTCTCTCTGCCTCATTCTCCCTCTCCGTCTGTCTCTCTGCCTCATTCTCTCTTTTCTGCCCAACTCTTTCCCTTTCTTTGCCTCACTGTCTCTCTCTCTTCCTCGTGCTCTCTGCCTCACTCTCTCTCCCACTGTCTTGGCCTCTCTCTCTTTCTCTCTGTCTTCCTCAGTCTCTCACTCTCTGCCTCATTCCCTCCCTCCACCTTTGCCTCACTCTCTCCTTCCCTCTTTTTTTGCTTTACTCTCTTTATCACTTTATTTCTCTCTGCCTCACTTTCTCTCTCTCTCCTTCTCTTTCTCCTTCTTCTCTCTATCTTCTTGTCAGTTGCCAGACAGAGGGAAATAGCCTCAGCAGAGGGTGATGCCTGCCTCCCCGTTCACCGCAAACTCCTTGCTATGTTGGAATTCTGGTCAAATCTGAAGTCATTTATTCTTTAATAAAGACGGGCTGAAGCAGTTGAAACCCAACTCAACTGAACTAACAGCTTTGTGAAACTTCAACACGGTACGATTTAACGAGAAAACGTACACAAACAAAGCCAGGGAGATAGAAAGTTGTTGTATCCATTACCTTAAATGAATGAACTAGCCGCTGCTCACATCCACCCGAAGCTTATTCCTGGAGGGTCAGGAGACAGAGAGAGACTGTGAGGGACCTTGGTGCTTGCTCAGACGCTCATAGTATGAGGGAGCGAGCGGGCTTGCTGCTGTTGCTTCTCTCCTTCCGGGAGTCTGGAGGTCGTTGTCTGTTAAAAAGGATATCTTCACGGTCACACCCACACGGATTTTGACATCATGTGTTTGGATTCAGTCCGGGGCTGCAGTCACTAAGGAGAATCACACAGTGCTGCTTTCAGAAGGCAGGCGTGTTAGACTCAGCCTCCACTAAGTTATAAATGGCGCGTTTTCAGTGACGGAGCTAAAACTCCACCGCAGATATATACCCAGACACACTGACACACAGACGTACATAGATCCACACACACATAGATACATACACAAACACACAGTTACACACATAGACACGGATACGATATACACACAGACACAAACACACATACTCATAGACACATGCAAGCAGACAGAAAAACACAGAGACGCGCACAAAACACAAAAATCAAACATGCACACAAAAACATTCGCAAAAACACAAATATACACACAAAACACACACACGGAAAAATACAAACATGCACACAAACACAAACATACACACACACAGAAAAATACAAACATACACACAGACAAACATGCACACAGACACACAGAAATATACAAACATACACACAAACACAAACATACACACAGACACACAAACATGCACACAGACA